AAAATTCATCCTTACAAAAATTGTGTTAAATCTACATGCTATATTTCTCAAGTAATACGTGTAGATAATTTTAAAATGGTAAAAATGTACCATATTGGGATTAATGCTTAATTTTTCTGGCTCTTGGAAAATACATGGTTGAAACCTGGATAACTTCTGTCTAGATAAAGCACTCGGGGAAATCTGTGGCTTCATTGGATCAATTAACTCCACTAAAGTATCTCATTTTATTATTGTTTTCACAAACATACACTAATTATAGAAAATTTTCAAACTGAAGAGAAATATAAAATCACCTACAACTTTAAAATATTTTGGAACCTCTTATGTACCCTTAAAGCATACACAGTATTTTATATGTACTTATGTACATTAAAGCATAAAATTTCAATATTGGTATAATACAGTGGCTGTTTTAAACCCCTTTTTAATATGAATTATTTTGAAACACAATTTTGTCTGGACACTACAAATTGGTTTATAAGTTATGTACTAAAATTTAACCAGTTCTCTATAGTTGAATATATAGTTTCTTCTGAAATATTTGCTATTTTAAAATAATGCCTATGAATGTCTTAGTAGCTTCCCCCAATATTTCTATAACTATTTTTAAATAATACATTTTTAGAAAAGGAATTTGCTGAAAGAAAAATGAAATTGATATTTGACATGTTTTATAAAGTTGCTTTTCAGAAAAATGGTACAAAATTTACCCAAGAACAGCTTGCAGGAGTCTCCTAATGCTCACCAACAGTAGACATCAACATTGAAAACTACAGTGATTTGTCAATTTGATTAGTGGAAGATATCCATTACCCAGTTTCCAGTGTTTCCTAACTCCTCTGGGCCAATTTACTCAGTACAAGAAATCACATAGGTTGAGTTAGAAAAGTGCCTTAGGATCAGACATGGAGGGCTTTGGATGCCAAAGAGACAAGATTCAATTGGTAAGACATGGTGAGATTTTATTCTGTGGGACAGTGGTTTTCAAGGAAATGCTACCCACCTGCCTAGGGAATATCTAGGAAATCTGGGCAAATGCTTTGGATTTTCATGATCTTGAGGGGGCTGCTACTGGCATTTAGTAGGTGGAGACCAGAGGTGTCAGCTGCCCTGCACTGTGTAGAGTTATCTTGAGTGACATTGAACTGTCCCATGTTTTACACAACTTTCGAATGTCCTAGTAGAAATGCATGAGGTGTAAGAAGCCTGATTATAATTATTCAAGCACAGAACCTAACTGTTTTACATACCAATGCCAAATGTTTTGTGGCCATTTTTAAGTTTCCTACCGTGTAAAGCAAGGGAAAAATAATTTCTTCAGAGTATTCACAAACGTTGTTCATTTTTGAAAAGTATATCACTAATACCATACTATTGCTGTTATTTTCATCACCAACATCACCTACTTATAATAGTGTGCATTCATGAATAGCCTACATTCACTGTTTCTAAGAGTATATGCAAGAATCTTATCACTTATGTCTTCCAGTACTGTCATGCTTAAGCATTTACATAATTTTATTATAAACTTTCACATTGTATTATAAAGTCTTATGTTGCCCTTTACAAAACTGCGTATAAGGAGGTCATGTATTCCACTGGTTTCATTTTAGAAGAGTAAAGGGTATATTCTCCTAAATATTGTTTTACTATAAATAGTGGTCATTGACTCCAACAGGGTTGAGACTGGTTGCTATATGGGACTAGGGGATGGGAAGCAAGTCAGACTTCCAGACAGAAGAGTGACATGATGAAGCAGAGATGGAGGTAAAGAGGGGCTGACAGTAAAGAAAATAAACTGGAAAAGGAGATGGCAGGAGGCAAAGAGACCAGAAAATGAGACAAATACAATCTAGGGAAGTAATGATGAAGACATTAAGATATCAATAATGAGCGAGTCGGAAAGAGGAACATCTTATGGTGGGCATCTTGAAAAGAGAAGTCATTGGAACTCAGATCCAGTATCAGAGTGTCATCGTATTGTTACAGGCCACAGACTAAATTGTGTTCTCAAATAGTCTCATGTATGCGCACATACTTGCAAGCACACATATACACTTACACCCTCCAACTCTCTAGATTCATTACCAAATAATCCCTCTCCCCTTCTGCCACCAAATGGAAGATTTATCACACCAGCGAATCTGAAATCCGACAGCTCAACCTGACATTAGTTTGCATCAGAGGGGCAAAGCCTTGTGATTCTCTATTCAAGATAAACCCTAAAATTTCAAGTGTGCTTTACACTACAGGTTATAAATCATACACTTGCATTCTCATTCTACAGTAAGCATAAAACCACATAATATATATATACATATGTTTCCCTTCCCCCTTGCCAAATTCATGTAGACACCTCGACTTGCAGGAGGAGAATGATAGGAAATTAAGAAACTCAGGACCAGTGACAATTTGTCTGCAGCAGGCATTTTTTCTATTCGGTAGCAACTATAACAAATGAAGTTGTTACTAGATCAGGCAATGGTTGTAAGTGGCAGAAAAGCATTTCCAAAATTAAGGGATGGAGAGTCCAAGATGGACAGTAAAGAAAATAAACTGGATATTTACCGTATGATCCACTTTGGCAAATATTGGGGATAAAAGAGAATGTCCCAATTCCTGTTCAATTCTCAATTAAGATAAAAAGTGCATTACACGCCGGGCGTGGTGGCTCACGCCTGTAATCCCAGCACTTTGGGAGGCTGAGGGTGGGTGGATCACCTGAAGTCAAAGCCTGGCCAATATGGTGAAATCCCATCTCGACAAAAATACAAAAACTCAGCTAGGCATGATGGTAGATGCCTGTGATCCCAGCTACTCGGGAGACTCAGGTGGGAATCACTTGAACCTGGGAGGTGGAGGTTGCAGTGAGCAGAGATCGTGCCATTGCACCCCAACCTGGGCGACAGAGCAAGACACCATCTTGGGGCGAAAAATGCATTATATTCTGTATTATATCCATACTCAATTTCAATTTTTTAAAAAACAAAGTAAACCAAGAGTAAAAAGTCTCCAAATATGAGTATCCAGTTATTCTAATTCCTATCAGTCCAACAGTACTGAGTTAGTGGAACACAAATATCACATTCTTCATTTTTTCTTAATGAAAAAACAATTTCTAGCTTAGAACAATGGTGACCATACCTTTCTCAACTTGTAATTTCTTTCCCTACCCTACCAAAAAATGTCAGCCACATTCCATCAAAGTGAAAAAATGTTCCTCTAAATTCCCACATTGTCCAGTTCCTGTTTCTGAGTTACTTAACATCTGATATATATTCTTAAGCACTTTGCTATTTTGCATGTGACAAAAATACAAGACAAATCCCAAGGTTTATGCTAACTGCCTGAAATAGGTAAGGGCACAGATAACACCATCCATCTCTCCCCATCTTTGCTACCTGATAAGGTTTGATAAGAGGTAGAAGACTTCTGTATTGGTCATCTATTATGTTACAGGTTAGGAGGTTTGGACCATGAATAAACAGAAAATGACCTGAAGCTAAATAGGACATGCTGCCAAGTGAGGCAATCAGTGACTATGACTTAAAGGCTCTGCCCTTCTTCCTTCTAATTAGACTGGGGCAAAAATCCCAAGCTCTTTGCCATGGGAGACAAGGCTCCATGACCCTCCCTCTGTCTGTTACTCTTCTCACCTCCCGTCACTGCTTCTTTGCACTCCTGTGGTCATGGAACCACATTCTCCTCTTGAGCCTGAGTCCTCATGCTGTGATTCTTCCTGGAATCCACTTTACAATTGTCCCCTGACTGGCATCTGCTTATTGTTCAAAACTCAGCTCTAGTATCACACATTGGGGTAAATACCCTTTCTACTTTCACTGGCACAGTTAATCTCCATTCAGGCACTTCTTGGCTACCTTGTGATTGTCTCTCTACTCGTTGTCTCTGGGAATATTGAGTTTCTCAAGGGTGGAGACACATCCTTTTGATGTTTGTATTTCCAGTGCATGGTTTAGTGGACATCAGCAAATGTTTGTCACTTATCTGAGCAGGGAGTTTTTTGTTTTTTTGTCTTCTAAAGGCTATGGACCACAAAAATTGCTTAAAAAAAAAAAAAAAAATTCTTTTCCCCCTGAGGCTAAGGAGGGGTTTGCAAGTCAGAGCTTTACTAACCAGGGTCATAAAGTCAACTGCTGACTTGATCTCACTCAAGAGGGTACGGAATTGCCTGATTTTGTTGGTGCTAGCCCGTGAGAATTTGCACTCTACATGACCACATAATCCCCAGTGGAACTCCCATGGGTTCACTTTCAATATGCATTATGTTCATACATCTGGAAAGTGGGATCAAATAGTGTTACTTGCAAGACTCCATAGTTCTTGGAAATCTGAATTAGAGGCAGGATTATAACTGGCAGGGCCATGCTAGGCGAGGAGTAGATGAGACACAAGCAGTCCCCAGAGCCTGGGGCCTCTCCTCACACTGTATGATCAGTCCCAACAGCTGTGTGTGAGGACACTTCCAAGCACATTTTGTTCGATGTTCAACTGAAACCCATTGCTAGCATCTCTTCTATGTAATCCCCTTGGGTGTAAGACATAGGGCCTTTGTTGAAGACAGAAGGTCTCAAGCTCACAAAAAGTATCAGATTTAGACTTTTAACATTATTTTCCAAGTAAGGTGATAAACAGCCCAGATGCAGTAGCAGAGTTGAAAGTCATTCATCACACAACTCTAACCTTGTGTCCCATGACCAGATGGCACTTCCTGAAGTACACTGTGAGCCAGAACTTCTAACAAATTCCATAATTATCTTACAACCCTAATTGTTTTGAGAGTGTGTGTCAACCATGTTAATTTGTTAAATGTAAACAACGTCTACAACTGTTTGGCCTGTCATTACTTTTTAACGAACTAAAAGACACTTCTCTAGATAAGAGGGCCTAGCAAGCACAGAATTATTTATAGGATCAACAGATAATGTGCACTGAATCAACTTCATCAAAAAGAAAAATACCATTTACTTATTACTTACCAAATTAAGTTTTGCCCAGAACTCAGGTCCTTCTTCCATCTCTCTGAGGCTCGGTGGAATGTACCAAAAGCAAATATTGGCATATTCAGGCTGAGAATTAGAAAAAATTTGTTATCCTAAGATTTATCTTAGAATGCAATTAAATACTTTGAAAACTTAGTTTCCTTAAGGGTTACCATGTGTATAAAACTTTAACATCACAATCTTAGAGTAACAATCCCTTCTGCCTTCTGATAACATCCTATTTAAAAATTTTCTTCTCCATAGTGTGCACCTAGCGGGTTCCTTCATCTTAATGTGAAAATAGCACGAAAAAAGTGAAGTTTGAAGCTGACTCAACCCAGCTTTGTCAGTTAGTGCCTGCTTACATACATATATGCTTAGAGATGCCCTGGATCCTTTCTCTCCAACACTGATCCTTAAGTTATTTGCTATATCATCATAGGCTTCCAATAATTATTTTTCTTAAGGCAGCCAAAGTTGGCCCCTACACCTGACAAATGCAAAAGCTTTGATTACCTGTGAGTTGATGGCAGCACGACATGCATGGGCTTCACTAACCAGCACTACTATGATCCTAGCCAATACTGCTTTTGAAAAAAGAGCATCACCTTGACTCCTGGCTCTCAAATATCAGTAAAAGTGTGAATCAGCTAGAAGACCTATTTCAAAATGTAGATTGAGTTCCTATGTTCAAAATGTCCAGTGTGTAAGTCCATCCTAGAAAAGGCTAAAGAATTGGCAGTTTATGAAGCATGTCAAGTGATTCTGAAGTAGGCAGTGTATGTTCTATGAGAAACTGTCATCTACACTAAGTAACCGTAACCCAGTCATCTTCCCTGCTAGTCTGTTTTTCTATCAGACATGATTTGCTTAAACGTGGAACTGTATTCTAACAGGCTTTAGCCCAGCCTTTGTCATGCAGACAAGGCTTTGTCCTCACTGGACAAAAATATAGGAAGTTCCATGACCAAAAGACTTGTACTCAGGACGAGGAGATTTGGGACATTATGTTGGGGGTTCACAAATTAGACATACAGAATTGTATTCAGGAAAGATTGAGTCATACACATCTTCCTTATTGTCAGTTTCACACTGACAATATTTGAACTGATTTTCATTTTCTGCCATAAACAGTTTGTAATAATCAATGTTATAACAGTTTCTCTAACCATCAGAATTATGCTCTAGTATATAAAGTTTCAAAGCATTTCATAAAGAGAAATAGAACTATCCGAATATCTTCAAAAATCAACGACTGGTGAGATATATATTTGAAGGGAAACATTAATATCCAACGAGGGGTAACCAAGCTGTCCAACTTAATAAGCAAAACTTTCTGTGTTATAGTAGTAAGTTTCGGTTTAGCGATAGATCTGATTCCTTTTGCCCAAACACTTTTAGAATGGAATGGCTCAACAAGGTAAGTTCTTGATCTTATCATTTCATCTCTGAAATTAACATTCTTATAGCTCTGCTCTTGTCAAGTCAGTAAGTCTTCAAAATAGAGTTAAAAATGAAACACTGTAATTCAACTCAATTTTCACAAACATTTATGAGACTACAATCATTCTTACAAATTACACAATTTATACGTGGATTTCTGATGTATTGAAAGTAATGGCAAAAACTACAATTACTTTTGCAGCACTGTCACTAGATTGTGTTATGTCAGTTATCGATTTATTGCCTCTCAGCTACAAATCTACCCTTTTTGAGTGTCCTAAAATAATGTAGGTGGACTCTGCAGATATTTCTCCCTTGACATCTGGTCCAATCTTAAACTTTGTCAGCAGAGGGTGCTGGAGAGACACTGGAGAAGGAAGGAGGAATACCTTGTGTGCTCACTTCATGGGTCTCCTACAGAATCTGTGGTTCTTTTCAGCAGCACTGGTAACCAGAAACCAGAGCACATCCCCACCCATCGACCCCAGCAGCTTCCCCCAGTACACCCCTTTCAGGTGGTATCAGGTGGCATCACAGCAGACAGGCAGCAAGTGAAGGGCCCATAAATGGCTTTTCCTGGCATACTCCCCTCAGGTGGTCTCATGAGAGATGCCAGCCAGGCCCCTTGCCTTGGATGACTTCTTTGGCACTCCTGGGTAGCTTGCAGTGATTTCCAAGTTGTGGCATGGCCCCTGTGGATGGCTTCCCTCAGCTCAGCAATCCAGACTAGATTTCTAGTGAGTACCACCAATGTAACACCTCAGTAAATTTTTGTTATCCCATGAGCCAAGGTCATACTCTCTCTGAAGAGGTCTAGACCTCAGTCCTGCGAAGGGACGGCCTTTCTCTTGGGTGCTCTATCTCAGTTCCAGGAGTGGTGGCTGCTCTCTATATCTGCCACTCCTGTTCATTTTTAGGTTTTTCATTCTCTCCTATGAAGCAATCCTCCAATCCCTTAATAATTCTTGATAAATTTCCCACTTTACCATGCAGTTCTTGTCTTCTGAATGGACTCGAATACGTGTCACCAAATTTGTTATTCCCTTTCATTTGCATAGGAACATTACAAAACAGTTTACGATGTTTTATCTGCTGTTATAGGTTCTATATTTTACAAGTTAGGACTTAGATCTTTTACATTTTTTAGTAAGTTTCGGTTTAGCGATAGATCTGATTCCTTTTGCCCAAACACTTTTAGAATGGAATGGCTTCAGTGCTACAACATTTGAAAGCTTATAAAGTCCTTCTGACAGTTCCTTTCATTGGAAGACATTTGATGCTTCATTTGGAGTATCTTCGCTTTGGCAATTTCCCAAATCATTAAGAGTTGAAAAACATACCTTTGAATTTCTGCAAAAGTATGAGTTTTTCCTGTCTCTGCCTCTGTAGCTTGTATTTTACATAATTTTTAAGAGACTTCAAGGCACTGAGTATTTTCAGAGTAAAATCATTTATACACCACTTAATTCTAATTGCTTACATATATGAAAGTCTGACTACTTGGGTGTCCTGAGAACACATTTAGTCTGTTCTAAAATCCACAAAATTAGGAAGGTATTACAGGAGTCCACGTGTCTAGTGAAGGGTACAAAAATTCCGTAGCAGCAAGTGCATTATCATAATCTTTAAAAATTCACAACAAAAGAGTAACGTGCCATTAAAGAAGAGTTTGAATACATTTTATACTGGTCTTCAAACAAAAAATATATAAAGTTCTTTATCAATTTCAGGAAGAATTATCAAATTTTGAGACCATTTGGGAAAGAAATTAGTGGTCACTAAGAGGTAGCAGCAGCTCACATTCTGAGTCATATCAAAAGAAATTAATCTCCTTTGCTTTATGTCATTGGATCAGAATAATAAAGTTAGCACTGTTTTGTTTTAATAAATATATATGCAGAATCCAACACACAGATTCAATCATGCAAATATAGACTGAAGGAAAAGCTGGAATGGTGAATTTTAATTGACTTCAAGCTTATAGGTGTTAAGATTAGACTATTGAAAAATTTCAAAGGCAGCACTGGATAGCACAAAAAGCCTTAAGTTTTGGAGTTGGAAGGATGTGGCTTTGAATTTCAACTTCATCAGATCTTTGCTGGAATGAGTATCAAACTTTCTCAGTTTCTGCTTCCTAAACTATAAAATGTAGATGATGTCTGCTCCACCGGGTTGGTTTGATGATAGAAAAAATGTGTTTTCAAAATTTAGTACCATGTCTGGCACACAGCAAGCACTGTAGTCAGTGACTATTATTTGGGGCCATAATGGTAAAAAGAGATGTCTTTTTAAAGTGAATGGAGTAGCTCCATTAAAATGTGTACTAGTGAGGTACATCACTGTTAATTTCTTGCTAATATATTTGAAGGGAAACATTAATATCCAACGAGGGGTAACCAAGCTGTCCAACTTAATAAGCAAAACTTTCTGTGTTATAGATATTGACTAGGCATCGGGACGAGAAAATGACTTAACACTTTCTGAACTTGGAATGAATAGAGGACAAGGTGTACTGAAGAGAGGTGAAGCTAGAATTGCAGATGGGAGTTATGTCATGAAGGACTTCTTATATGACATGCTTGGAAGCTTGGGCTTGACTCTAGAGGAAGACGGAGTCACTGGAGAGTTTCACTACTCTAGGAAATAGATCTCATTTTCGAAAAGCTGCTCTAGCAGCAGTGTGGAGGTTAGGCTGGAGGGATCTGAGACTGGAAGTGGGACACAAGTTAGGAGACAGTACCTAGATAGTACCAACCTTGAAGGGTGATGAGATCTTGAACTAAGGCGCAGTGGCTTTGGGAGTGGAGAAGACTAAGCATTCAAGATGTATTTAGCGGGGAGGAAAAGGAGATAGTAAGAACAACATCAAGACTTTGGCTTGGGTGGATCATAGCTCTAATGACCAAAAGAAGAAAGTAGAATTTTGGTAAGGAAAAGACACTTAAACTTTAGAAATGTTGAATTTGAGGTGTCTGTGGCATCTAAGTGAAAATTTCAGGATATATTCATATACAAAGGTCTAGAGTTTAGGAGCTAAGTTGAGGATGAGGGGAGATAAAAAGGCTATTGATAACAAAGCTCTGGATGTGAAGAAATTTCAGGGAGACTGTGTGGCCAAAGATGACAGAGTGTAGAAGAATATTTAAGGGGGTGCACTGATGAAAAGACCCCTTAACGTGGAGACTGAAAAGAACAAGTCACATGGAATGAGAGAGACTGGGAAAGGAAATCAAAGAAACTAAGACAGGGTAGACTATCAAGAGATGGAGTAAATGGATAACATGATGCTACAGAATTTCAGCAAGACGAAGATTAAACTATGCATTGGATTTAGCAATTAGGAGGTAGTTGTAATCTAAAAACTATATAACAAGATAATGTAAGAAAAATCACAATTGCTTGATACATATTAGTAGGTTCACTATTAGAACATGAATAATTAGAGCTATCTGGAAGAGGAATGAACTAGTGAATTCTCTGCAAATAGGAAGTATTCAGAGGTTGACCACTTGTTAACAGATACTGTTAAGATAGCTTTCCTGCATTGTGCAGGAAGTTTATATGTCCTCGAAGATCTTCTGTAGCTCAAAGTTGATGAAACATTAATAACTCCTCCTAGTGTAGACCTTGAGAAAAGAAAAAAGTTGAATAATTAGGACTCTCCCAAGAGATAAAAATGAAATATGTGAATGATAGTTTAAGAATGAATATACCTCTAGGAAATGTCTATTAGATCTTAGATCCAACACAGAAAAAAAGATGATTTTCAGAGGCCTATGAATAATTCAGAATTCACTTAAAATAACTTTCAATCATCTTCAGGAAATGTATTTTTGTTCTTTTCAGGAAAAAAAATTCAAGTACTGGGTATTGTCTTGTGATCATCTACAATTTCCAATGTTCCACTTAACCTTCTCCTTGCTGTTAGACAACAGTGACACATGTACTCACACTCTCAAATACACAAATGTACATATAGACATGAATGCCATATATAAGCAAAAAGACTATCAACTTAATACTTATATGTGACATTCAAGGTCTAATGCTGCTTTATTTCTTGCTGCAATGAAAAGCGGCAAATGCAGATCACATACAAAAATTCTTACAGCAGGAATTCTGGAAAACCATTTAGAAAATCACCTTCACTGCTTGTGGGCCAGCTGGCTCCCACAGATGAAAAATCCAGGGGCAGAAGGCTGACTAATAATTAAATCCTACCTTAGCTTTCATTGCAAGGACTTGAGTGTTTGCAATTTCCTAATAATAATGGTAAGTGGTTCCTCTCTTTTCTAAACCTTTAGGAAGAATATATAAACAACTTTTTAATCGGCCCATCTTTTTTCTCACTTTCAGCTCTATCAAAAGACTGTACAATTCTAATGTGTACAGGACTTTTCATAAGTACTATAGCTCCCATTACCAGAGAAAATAACACAACTCAAATTTGAGAAAATAGGAAACTCAAACCCGAGAAAATAAAGTAATCAAACTCAATTCAAGTAAAATAACTGCTTTTTCTCCCATACATGCTTAGGTATGTACTTCTAAAAACTATAGACATTTTCTTACATAGTTATAATGCCATTATGCTTCACAAAATTGACAATTCCTTGACACCATCTAATAGCCAGTTCATATTCAAAACTCCCCAACTGTTACAAGAATTACTTTTTACAGTTGGCTTGTTCAAACTGGGATTTCACAAGGTCTATATGCTTTATTTGGTTGTTATGCTTCTTTGGTCTCTTTGAACCTAAAGAGATTATCACTACTCCCTCCTTTATTTTTTCCTCACGTCACTGGCCTATTGAAACCAGGTTGTCTGTTCTGTAGAACTTTTCATGCTCTAAATTTGTCGTCTTTCTAGTACTACCAGAAAGTTGTTTAACTATTATGTTGGAATGCATGCAAGATCTTCCATATCTCTAGCTTTCTGGAACTCTGTAAGCTTAGAACTTTCTAATCTGGTGCTTCCTTTGTAGACAGTAGTGGAATCCATGGTCTAGATTCTCTGGAAAGTATTTCCCAAACTTCCCTGAGAACTATTGTCATATTTCACTTTGGCTACTAAAAACAGTTTCCAAGTTTGTCTTCCTTATTTTTATCTTGTCCTCTCTTCACTATTGCTTTTTCAACATTCCTCTCTTCTCATGACATCAAGCATCGTCTTTTAAAAAGCAAGTCAAACCCCCCCCCTGTGTTGTTAAAACATCTCCAATGACTACATTTGGAATACAGGCGAAAGGCCTTACCTTGACCTACCTGACCACCACCTGATCTGGTCTCTGCCCACCTCTCCAATTCCATCACCTGCTGCCCACTCCCCTTCATTCAATACAACTTTTTTTGCCTGCTCAAAGATAGAACTCTCTTCAGTTTTAAGCCTTGCAGTTGTTTACCAATTCTGCCAGAATGTCTTTCCCCCAAATATCCGCATGGCTTGCTGTTTCTCTTTATTCAGGTCTCAGCTCAAAGATAACCTTAAAATCCCCTACCCAGATTACCCAAACCAAATAAGCCATCCCTATTTCAGCATTTTACCCTCTTCCCCCTAATACAATAATATATCTATAACCTTGTCTAATTTATATACTAGATTATCTCATGAACACGTTTTATTGTTTTAAGACTCTTACTACCTGATTTCCCTATTAATTAATTTGCTTATTTAGTGCGTTTCACTTTCCAGTCAAATGTAAGCATCATGAAATCGGGGCCCCTTTTCTGTTTTCTATCTCTTGTGCCTAGAACCATGCCTGACACATAGTAAATTGTTCAATGCATCTTATTGAATAAATACCCAAAAAACTAGATTTCTTTTTCTTTTTACTTTGCTTTTTTTTTTTTTTTCCTTGAGACAGAGTTTCACTCTTGTTGCTCAGGCTGGAGTGCAGTGGCGTGATCTTAGCTCACTGCAACCTCCACCTCCCAGGTTTTAGCAATTCTCCTGCCTCAGCCTCCCAAGTAGCTGGGTTTACAAGCATGAGCCACCATGCCTGACTAACTTTTGTATTTTTAGTAGAGACAGGGTTTCACCATGTTAGGCTGGTCTCGAACTCTTGACCTGGTGATCTGCCTGCCTTGGCCTCCCAAAGTGCTGGGATCATAGGTATGAGCCACCAATGCCCAGCCAGCTAGATTTCTTATATATAGCACAGGCTCCAAGACTAGAATCTCTAGGTTATTTTTACATTAGGTTAAAAACTGCTATAATATATATACTATAACAAAATCTAAGATAACCTTGCAATTTATTATTCTCTAGCTTTGTAACAACCTCATTTCTTACACATAGCAAACAATACAACGTCGACAAAATGACTTGTTTTCCCGTTGCTCCAAAACGAATATGCTCTCATTATTTTATAAAAAGAGAAAACTGTATGCAGTATTGTACATTCACTTAATTTTCACATGCAGGCACCACTACATCACAGATGAATATTTGCAGTACAATCATTATGCAATTTATATATCAAGATAGAGGTTATAATTTATTCAATATTATCCTTGGTAATTGAGCATTTTAATTTTCAATACTTAAAGGCAAGTATATTCTCTGTGAATCCAACAAAGGAAAAGTACTCACTAATAGAGTAAATTAACATAATAGACTCTATGAATTAAACTAATGACTTGTTTTTTAAGTCTGCAACACAAAAACCAGTGAAATATATAACAGATTAGAAAATTACCACCTTCATCACTGTTAACTGACAAAATCACAAGCATAATTATGCAATCACTTACTTCCAGCAGTAACTTGAATCCTTCTCTTTTCTTGATTTCATCTACTAGGTACCTAAAATTAAAAGTCACAATATTTATAATCTGCAATGTAAAAATGTCATGAACATGAATGATGTATGACAAAACCGATTCAGAGACAGGGCTTGGCGATAAGAAAGATACAGATAAAGGTCAAGGTATAGGCAGAGCTATGGATAGATAAATACTCCAGACCTACTGTTATTTCCTTGGCCTGAGTAAAAAGATGCATCTTTTTGATGAGATTTATCTCACATGTTAGTGTCAGGCTTTAACCCTGGTGTGAAAAGCTAGATAAAGCAGGTTGGATATATATCTCTGAACATGTGGGTCTTACTTTCATATCCTAAATCGGGGATTTAACACAGGCACTTATATTAAATAGCTGGCTTGGAGGAAAGAGGTTTTTTTGGTGTGTAATCCTGCTTGTAAGTTCATTTAAAATCAAGGAAGATCAACATAATCTTAGTCCAGCACAGCGGGAAGGAGGACTGATAATCAGTATCATGTTAAAAGTAAGTGGGCTGATTATCCTTAGCAAACTAACACAGGAACAGAGAACTAGACACTGCATGTTCTCGCTTATAAGTGGGAGCTGAACAATGAGAACACATGGACACAGGGAGGGGAGCAACATAACTAGGGCCTATCAGGGGAGGATGAGGGGAGAATATTAGGGAAAAGAGCTAATGCATGTGGGGCTTAATACCTAGGTGGTGAGTTGATAAGTGCAGCAAACTGTGTGGTTTGTTTACCTAGGTAACCTGCATACGTACCCCAAAACTTAAAATACAAGAAAAAATAAATTACCTGAATATGAGGGGGCAAAAAGTGGGCTGTAGCCATTGATAGAATATCTATAAAGTCATTTTGGATGTTGGGGGAAAGAGAATTATCACACCTAAGTGTAAAGGGCATGGATGAAATATGGAATATGAGTGAGAAAAGACTAAAATAGCATTGAGAACATGGTGCTCTATATAATAACATTGACTCCTCTCTCTTAGGCTTGGCTTTTGTCTATACCAAAAGAAAAGTCTGAAATGGCCTTGAAAAACTAGCGATTCACGAGCCTTTAAATGTTCACAACACTTGACCCGGTACTTCAAATCTAGGAATCAAGTCTAAGGAAATAATAGAGACACTGACAGAAATGTTTGTCAGAGCATTTATTGTGATTTTTATATGTAATAGCAAAAAAAAAAAATCGCCAAACATAAGGAATGCCTTTGTAAACTAGATTCCAGTAATGGAATTATGATCTTATGATCCTGTCACTAAATCATAAATGTTCAACTAATATTTAAAGACACAACGATGCTCCTCTTGGGCCTCAAGTCTCTTACCTGTAAAACTGGACTAATACAATCTTCTTTTCTAATTTGAAATGGTTTTTGTAAATTAAAATCATAAACATGAAAAAATGCAGACTATGAAAACTGGAAAGAAGGGACAATTACATCATTTTAGGAAGGCCATTCTATAATGTGAATATGGAATACAGTAAGATGAAGTTCCTTTTTCCAAATGTATACAGCTTTTTATATTAGGTTAAATATTGATGTTTGCATATAGATACTATCATTGAAATATACAATATCATTTAAAATTGTCAATATTCACTAGTAATATGGGAATCTTTGAGCAATAATGTTAGCATACACACGGGCACACACGCTCACAAAGTACTAGATGTTCTATGTGTACGCCATTCTCTGAACACTTTTTCAGAAGATGTATGTAGCTATAAAGTTTTTAAACCTTTTATCACACTGGCTAGCTTTCCTAAAAAGCAATTTCATTGCTCAATACATACCAGAAAAGGCATTCAAAATCAGTAATAATCAAAGAAGTACAAATTAAAACAATAATACAGGCATCCCTTGGGGGTATTGTAGGTTTGGTTCCAGAACACTACAATAAAGTGAATGCTGCAGTAAAAGGGAGTCACAATTTTGGAGGTTCCTCAGTGTATATAAAGGTTACATTTACCATATACTGTAGTCTGAGTGTACAATGGCATTATATCTAAAACACAATGCACATGCCATGATTAAAAATACTTTATTGCTAAAAAGTGCTAAGGATTATCTGAGACTTCAGTGAGTTGTAATCTTTTTGCTCCTGGAGGGTCTTGCCTTGATGTTGATGGTTGCTGACTGATCAAAGGGCTGAAGGTTGGGGGTGACTGACAATTTCTTACAATAAGACAACAATGAAGTTTGCCACATTGCCTGACTCTTCTTTCACAAAAGATTTCTCTGTAGTAGGCAAATCTGTTTGAACACATCTTACCCACAGCAGAACTTGTTTCAAAATTGAAGTCAGCCCTTTCAAACTTTGCTGCTGCTTTGCCAACTAAGTTTATGTAATATTCTATATCCTTTGTTATCCTTTCAACAAGATTCACAACATGCTCACTGAGTAGATTTCTTCTCACAAAACCACTTTCTTTGCTCATCCATAGGAAGAGGCTCCTCATCCATTCAAGTTTTATCATGAGACTGCAGTAATTCAGTCACATCTTCAGGCTTCACTTCTAATTCTAGTTCTCTTGCTGTTTTCACCACATCTTCAGTGACTTCCTTCCCTGAAGTCTTACCACCCCTAAAGGTCAACCACGAGAGTTGGAATTAACTTCTTCCATATCCCCATTATTACTATTTTGACCTCCTCCTATAAGTCATCAGTGTTTTTAATGGTGTATAAAAGAGTAAACCCGTAAAATTTTCAATTCACTTTGCCCAGATCCATCAGAGGAATCACTTATATATTCTGTAAGGCTATAGCTGTGATATTTCTTAAATAAGACTTGAAAGTCTAATCCTTGATCCATGAGCTGTAAAATGAATGTTGTGTTAGCAAGCATGGAAATATTAATCTCCTTGTACATCTCCATCAGAGCTCTTGGGTGACTAGGTGCATTGTCAATGAGCAGTAATATTTTGAAAAGAATCTTTTTTTCTGAGCAGTAAGTCTCATGTCTCAACAGTGGGCTTCAAATATTCAGTAAACCATGCTATAAAGAGATGCTGTCATCGGCTTTGTTGTTCCATTTACAGAGTACAGGCAGAGTAAGTTTAGCATAAATCTGAAGAGTCTTCAGATTTTCAGAATGGTAAATGAGCATTGACTTCAACCTAGTCACCAGCTGCATTAGCTCCTAAAAATAGATTCAGCCTGTCTTTGAAGCTTTGAAGACAGGCATTGACTTCTCTCTGGTCAAGAAACTTCTAGGTGGCAGCTTATTCCAATATAAGACTGATTTGCCTACATCAGAAACCTGTTTAATGTAGCCACATTCTTCAATGATCTTAGCTAGATCTTCGGGATAACTTGCTGCAGTTTCTCCATCATTTGCCGCTTCACCTTGCACTTTTATGGAGATAGCTTCTGTGCTCAAACCTCATGAACCAACCTCTGCTAGCTTCTAACTTCCCTTCTGCATCTTCCACACCCCTCTCAGCCTTCGCAGAATTGGAGAAAGTTAGTGTGTTGCTCTGAAATAGGCTTTGGCTTAAGGCAATGTCATGCCTGGTTTGATCTACTCAACTCTAAAACCTTTGTATCCGCAATAAGGTTGTTTTGCTTTCTTATTCATGTATTCACTGAAGTAGAACCTCTAATTTCCTTCAAGAACTTTTCCTTTGCATTCATAAATTGGCTATTTGGCACAAGGGGCCTAACTTTGTCTGTCTTGGCTTTTGGCATACCATTCTCACTAAGCTTAACCATTTCTAGTTTGTGACATGTGACTCTTCCTTTCATTTGAACACTCAGAGGCCATTGTAGCATTATTAGTTGGCCTAATTTTGATATTGTTGTCTCAGGAAATTGGAAAGCCTGAAGAGGAGAGAGATGGGGGGAATGGCCAGTTGGACAGCAGTCAGAACACACACAATATTAAGTTTTCCAGCTTCTATGGGTGCATTCTATGGGGGAGCCCCAGAACAATTACAACAGTAACATCAAAGAACTGATGACTCAAACATTTTTATTATGAGAATTACCAAAACCTAACACAGACATGAAGTGAGCACATGCTGTTGGGAAGATGGCACTGATGGGCTTGCTCAATGGAGGATTACCACAAACCCTCAATTTGTAAAACAAAACCCCCCAAAACACAATATCTGGAAAATAAGGTTAAGCACATGAAATGAAGGATTCTTGTATTAACCATGTTTCCCAATGATACCAGAAACAAACTTTAGAGTGACGACTTCCAGTGGTGGTGAGAATATGATAGAAAGCTGCTACAAACCTTTTAATAATACTCATATCTTCTTATTGAGCAAACCAGTTTTGAAATGCTGGTCTACCAAGAAAGTTATCAAGGATAGATATATATATAAATATGTGTACATATATGCTGTTATATCTAAATCTGTGTACTGTGGGTGTATAGGTATATTCCATACAAAATAACTAGAAACAAGATTAATATTAAAATTAATACTGAATTAAAATGTACTATAGCAACATAATATATGCAGCTATTAAAATATATCTACTTCAATTAAAGCACAGGATGATCATGATAAATTAGTAAAAGATAAAAGTGAGGTTCTGAGAAATGGGGATGATTTGATTCAATTTTTAAACATTTTAAAAAAATATCCACATGTATATACAAACAAAATATGGAAGGATATGTCATAAATTTAGTTTACCTGAGGGAGGGGAAAGAAGATGCAATGGGAGTGGGGGGTTTTCCATTCGCTTTTTTATATCTTTTCAAAGTTCCATACATGTGGTTACTTGTATAGTTTTTGAAAAGAACTTAAAAAATATAAAACAAATAGACGTATATACCTCCTACCTATAGGAGAAAAGCTTTGTGAACCATCCTTTTTCTCACCTTTTCAGGCACAAATGTTACTGGCAATCTGTTAACTCAAAAGCTTATGCTATGATTTCATCCTGAACTGAGGCTATGAAGAAAGCTTTCTCCAGAAATCTTGGGAATAACTTTATAAGATTCTAATTGTGCAGCTAAATAACTTTGAATCTAGGCAAATTCCTAAGTCTTCC